ATTGTAATTTGGATCTCAATTTTCGCGAAATTCCGACTACGTTTGATCTGTGAATGGCGTAAAAAGAGAAAAGGAACGACGTTATTATAGTATAGATACAAATTAATATCTGTGATTATCGTCGATGCAGATATATTTTAAGTAATTTCTACAGCGTTCGGGCACATTTGTAAAAAAGGAGCGGAAGACAAGACAAAGGGAGAAAAAAGTAAAAAAAAAAACAATTACAATTAATAATAATCATATACGGCGATAATAATTTTAGAGCGGTTGTTGAGATAAGATTTATTCGTGTTTGTGTGGGATGATATTGTCGTACCGCGTGATGACGAAGATTAATTAATTACGCATTAATTGTAATTAGGATAATTAATATATAGTGTGAGTACGCTATTTCTGTTTCGAGGAAAGGGAGACATAAAAAGAAAGAAAGAAAAATAGAAGGAAGACACGAGGGAGCTCGAATGAATGTATTTCGCGGAATCTGATTTTGTTGTTGTACATTATATAATAGATACATCGCATTATACACGATCATTTTCAATAAACATATTCTATAAATGATTTATTGCTTTTGAACATTTTCTGCTGCATCCGGATTTTACTTCCCGAAGATTTACTTACATTTCTCTAAAATATTATGTCATATTTTGTTAAATATCGCTGTTTATTTTTCAAGAATTTAAAAAACTTTTGTGACACATATAATTAAAGCTTTTAATTTAAAGAAAAATTTAACGATATATTTAAAAAATTCTTAAAAACGTTGATGAATAAAACTAAGATTATTTTGAAAGACATAATTTTTTTTTTAAATTCTGTATATAAGGCCACTATAAAGTGCCTTTGAGTGTAAAACTTATAAAGTGAACTTTCGTTTAAAATACTTCTTTCTATCTTTTATCGTTTTATTACGATATTATTTGTGGTTTCATCAACTTTATTTTATCTAAAAGTCAATAAAAGTCACAAACAAATTGATTTTCTTCTCAAAAGAAATGTTCCATCTTTTTAATGTACGTAAAAATATTTAAACAAGTACATTTCTTTTATTTTGATTATACATCAATAATTGATTATATATATATACACGACACATTTTGTACAATAAAGTTCATAAAATTTCAAGAAGATACTTACGTTCCCTTTGTGAAGTTATTACAGCTACGATAATTAGAACATTTGAGTATTAAAAGCGCAATTTCAGATGCGCAAGCGCAGCGAATCGCCGTACCTGGGAGAGGGGAGGAAAAAAGAGAAATATCATAACCTCACTTTTGAGGAATTGGAGTAACATAACCAAAGCCTGCCAAAACTGAAGCGGCGAAGTGACGAAAAATTTGTTATTTCGAAAACGTATTTTGGTATTTGTCATTTAATAATTTTTAATAATTATTGATATATTTACATTATATTAAATTTTTAGAAGACTGTTAATATTTGATACCTTCTATATATTTTATCAATTTTGGTTTCTTTATTTAAAGGATGTTCATTGCAATATAATGTCAATTTATTTTCTTTATATAATTTATCTTAATCTCTTTATTTTATGTGTATATGTTACGTATCCAGCAACATCATCTCCAAAGTACAGATATAAGGCCTTTTTGCACCAACATTACTTAGATTTTAAACAAGGCTTAAAACTTTTTGTCTCTGTCTCTTTTTGGCTTTAAAACGAGGCTTAAGACGTCTTGAAGGTGTCTTACATCCATATTTCGGACATAATGTTATCTGGGTATATATAACAGACTGATTGAAATATATGAACAAATGATATGATAGCACTGTAGTGACAAGTATCAACATTACAAGCTGATAATAATATAATTTTGATGACAATAAGTTTTTTATAGTTCTAGAACAATGCAGACCATGAGGATAATAAACGTTAATGCATTAACAATGGGTACTACAGGACTCTGTGAGACTTTTATTCCAAATTCTGTCTATATACAGTGTGTACGTTGGAAAAGGAAACCAATTTGGCTGCCCACAGCAAAATCTAAAGTGTTTCGAATACCAAAAAGACCTGTCATACCTATGGAAGATTACGTGGAGCTCAAGCGATTATATAATAATTATAGGACATATATGACATCATTTAAGTATGTATAATTCTATAAATTTTACTTTTGATAATGATGATTAATAAAATAAATATGATTAATACAATACCTAGAATATTCTAGCTATTAAAATTATTGTATATTCTTAGCTTCAAAAATTAACCACTAATGTATTGCAGGGCATATATAAGGCAAACTGCAAAAGAAAATGAGAAGCAACTTAATGAGACAGTAGTTAACGAGCTGACCGAAGAGGAGGACTTTAAAACATGTAACGCCATAAATGATGAGTGGAATGCAGAAATAGCAAAAATACGAGAGATCAGGCTGGCGAAGATGAAGGAGAAACGCAAAAATACCATTTTGGAGTATATTTTAAAGAAAGAGCAGAAGCAAGAGATAAAGAAGACGAAGCTTAATGAATGGGTTAAAAAGGTTAAGGAAGAATCTGTCACGTTTATCACTGCGGAAAATGTGGATGCTGCGATCGAGGAGTGTTTGAAAAATATTGTTAATCATAATCGTGCATTGGATTTGAAAGGGAATTGGCACGAAGAAAAGTATCCCGCGATCCCATCGATTCCACTCGTCGAAGAGACACAGAAACCAGTGACCATTGAGCAGCAAAATTAAATTTGAAAATTTCATATCTACTGCTTGGGAAAGTAAAGCCAAAATTTAATGGACCTGTACTTTTTTTCAAGTGTTCTAGATTCTCGCTGGAATAATGATGATAAATACAAATTATTATATTATAGATTGTAATAAAATAGATACTTCAATATTATATTCCTTGCTATACATAATTAATATTCCTAGAAAAAAATTAAGCGATTAATAAGAGCTTAGATGTGTGTAAACATATCATTTTATAATTAAAAAAAACTCATATATATATATATAGATGAAATTATGACAGAAGTTCCTTTGCTCAAAGTCATGCAAAATAATAATGTGAAGAAGACACGACTAATTAAAGTATTGGTTAGTCAAACTTTTGCATCCTTGTAGAGAGCTTACAGAAAAAGTGTTTGAAGCCTGTATAATTAGCGCAGCGCTCTACAAAGCATCTCATTAAAATCGCGCAACTCGAATGCAATCCGGTTATAACCATGATACATGTATATACATACAAGCGACTGCCTGCTACTGCTATTTACTTGCTTCCCTTTAACGCACTTCAAGCAGTCTTTCGTGGACAACGCGCCGACTCGCACCACTGATTTTGCCCTCTCGGCTCTCGAGGCGAATCGAAACAGAAAAAATATTCGTGAATGAAGTGAGATTCGTCCAAATTTTAGATTAGTTTATAAACAAAATTGCAACAAAAATAGCTGTTGAAGTTGATGAGAAAATCGCGGTGCGGTAATTAGATGAATAAAACGTGATTATCGGGAATCTAAATTGGAAAGTTACGTAAAATATCATGAAGTTACTTTTTGTATTATAAATGCAAAGTTATTTTGTGTCAAATTAATCGATAAGACTTTCGTGCAATAAAATCACTAGTTTCTGAAATTTTGTTAAATTAATGACTAACTCAAACGTCTTTCTAAACAAAGTTATTTATATTTTATTTATAAAATTTTTTGGTCAGATTAAACTTTTATGGTCAGATTAAAGTTTGTAAAGACGAATCTTTTCATTATAAAATACAATCGATCGAAAAATTGTTCTCCAAAGGATTCCAAAGGATACAGGATTTAAGTATTATAAATTGGTATACCAAATTTACATACCAGCGAAAATGTACAGTGTACATGTGACACCAGGAAGATCTACGGAGCGAAAGAAGAACTCAACCGACATGGATAACGAAATCAGAACGTATGGAAGACGGAGAAAGGAATCGATTTCTGTGAAGCTGATAAACTACATCCGTTCGCAGTTTCAGTCGGATGCTATGTCGGGTGAGTCGGAAAAAGTTTAGCATTCTAAAGAATCTGAAGCATGCGATATATTATTAAATTTTGATTATAGTTGCTAGATTTGCCGAGTGTTTTTATGATTACCAAATTCCCAAATTCCAAAATGTAAATTAGACGTGCGCATGAGTTTTTTTGATGCATGAACTTTATTTATTTATTATATATTAATATACAACTGCAGCTCGACTGCGTAATCTAACTAAAAGTACATAAGAAACTTCCATTTATTGAATTTTATCTATATAATTTCTTATTTAAATTTATTTATTTTCTATATAACATATAGAAGACACAATATATGAGTATTATCCAGAGTATTTCATAGTATGCATAACTTTAGAAATAAATTTAGAACACAAAAATAACATTTCATGTAAACATTAATTCTATTTGACATTATTTCTGAGTTACAAACATTTTCGCATTTTAATTAATTAAAGGTTTGCTGCAACAGTGAGCTACTCCATACTTTTTAAAAACGAAGTAAATAACTTTAAATGATATTTATATTTTCCTCCCATTAACTTTAGAGTTTAGTTATTCCTTTTTAAAAAAATGTGGGTCAGCCTACTGTAGCGGCAAGTGCTTAAATTCTCGTTACAAACTGAGCTGGAATAGCGTCTTTACACATCTTCGCGTCTTACTGATTAATTATTAAGATAGAAATGTGTAAAGACGCTAAGATAGTTGAATTTGTAACAAGAATTAATGAAACGCGAAAATGTCTGTAACTCGGAAATAAAATCAGATGGAATAAATGTTTATACTAATTTTTTGTATTATTTTTGTATTCTGAATTCATTTCTGAAGTTATGCTTACATGTTATGAAACATCGGTATATAAATCCTATATATAATATAAAATCCTAATAATCTTTTCCTGCTAACACACATGAAAAAAACATAAAATCTCACATTGCACAGCATTACAATCTCATGTAAATATAATAGTCTACAAAAGTACTTAATTAATATAAGTATCTTATTATTTTATCTCCGATTCACAATATATATTTGCCTTTCCAAGATATTGAGTCCTGAAATTTCTGTGCTTTAAAATAGAACTTTTAATGATCTATAATAGAAGCGTTGTACGTTTAAACATAGATCCGTCCATTTATCTTACAAGATAATATCGATTATTCAACTTCCATTTCTGTTTGCTATTTCTTTTTGTTCGAATATCGTTTTCGTTTCAGTTACAAATCGGAGAAATAATTGCGCCTGTCACTCGGTGACGCGAAAACGGAAGAATACGTTGTTGCATCTCGCGGAACAATTGCACAAAATAATTACTGAGGCGTCAATTACGCGGTACACAATGACGAATAGACTTCGGTTATTCCAGTTCCAAGCTGGAACACTAACAAAATTCTTCCGTGACTTAGAAACGGAAAGAAATAATTATTCTAGAGAAATGTCCCTTCGTTGTCACTCTGCGGTTCGGGGAACGCTCTATCCATCATCTTAAAAATCATAATTTTATTCTAGTTGTTTGTTTACTATAAACCATAAATCGCGCGCGAATTTTAAGTCTTTGCTATATCCGGCGCGTCCGGGATATCGTCGATTCGATCAACGTTATAAAAGAGCGAATCTGAAACCTGAATGTTCATGTCGTCAACGATGGATGGTGGCTCGTACTGATTCATCCACACATCATTGATAGGAGCGTTGTTGGCAATCTCTCTCAAATCATCGTTATTAGTGATGATGGTTGCATGTGTCGACATTGGTTGCTCGAGTGGATTGCTAGGCACATTTGTCATTCGCATACCTTGTGATGTGTCGTTATATAACATCCAGTAAGGCGAAAAGGAATGTTGTCGCTGTTCGGCGGTGTATCTTCGTTGAATCGAGCAGCCATTAATTGCCAGATTAGATCGCTGCGAGACGATTGGAGCTACGTAGCAATAGACGCAGGATGTTTGACTTAATTTGGAGTAATCTACTTCCTTGGATAGATGATAATTCAGAATGTTCTCCAAATTGTTGGACTCGGAAGTCCACTTTGGCCGGAATGCTTCCACTGTTCCTGAATGATGAAATATCGCTGAATTAAAAAAAATCTGTTCTTAAAAAAAAACAGTTGATATTATTAAGATATACATGATTTTTTTAATAGAAAAAATACATATAGTTTATATATCTTATTTTTACATTACGTTTGTTTTATATATTTATATCAATAAAAAAAAAGAAAATAAACGCGCACCATTTGCCGGTCCCTGCAAATTCCCTGTACTAGTTTCTTGATTAATATTATGTTCTAATCCTGCTACAAGATTGCTTTGTGGTTGCTCGAACCTTTCGTTGAATAGATTTTTTGTTTCCTGAGTAAAACGAGGATAAATGTATTGATATTGTTGATCATTCGCATAGACATTTTGCTGCACATTATTCTGTCCGAAGGTATCAACATTGCGAAAATATCCCGTATCCATCTCCCCAGTGTGTTTGCCAAAATTTTGCAGATAATAAATATCGGAGGTATCATTGGCCATTATGTCTGTGCCGGTTGTGTAATTGACGTTCTGCGTATCAAAGTTGAAGAAATTTTGGCCGTTGTTGCAGGAGGTATCCGTTTGATACTGATAAGTCACATTATTGTCCATATTCGCAGTAGCTACAGTGGGATCCGTATTGTTGTAATAGATCGCGTGGAACACGCGAGAGTTAGAGGACTGCAGATCACCGTCGGGTACTTCCACGCTAGTGATTGTCCAATTCTGGTAAGAATTGGGCCGATTATCTACGTCACTAGGGAACCTATATTGATTGTCACTGGTTAGTACACTTGAAACTTGCTGAGGCACCAAGTTTGCTTCATTTAGCAAGAACTCGCCCCTAGAATTCTTCAGCAAGTTGTAATATTCATTGGTATTTGTGTCCAGCTGATTCTCATTCTCATTACTCTCTGACTCGGCGGTTAGGGTATCAGAATTGTCTAGTAAATTGCTAGCCCAGAAGAGAGAGCTAGCAATTTCACCTAGATTGGCGCCTACTGGTGCCTGTAGCATTCTTTTTAACAAAAACGAACCCTGCGAGCTTCCCTCAGGTTCTTTCAGCACTTGATAATTTGATCTGTCAGTCGACGAGATCGCAAGAGGATCCGTATCGTTGATCAGATTCACTTTCGGATAGCTCGGTTCGACAAGAGGGATCGTTTGAAGATTGGGCGACATTGACGTTGTCCGTAAATCTACAATATTCAGATCTTCCACTTGGTTATTGTTGTTGTCACATGCTTGGAATTCTCGTTGAATTCTCTTGAGTAGGAACTGTTTAAACTCCTCATATTGTGGAATCTTGGTATCATCCTCCTTACTCACTATTTCCTCCTCGGCACCGATCTGCAAAAATGGAAAGCACTTTGTCCGAAGTCAATCATTGCCGCTTGTTTGCTGCATCACGAAATCGAATGAAATATAAAATGGCACAAATGAAAGAAAAAGAGAATGCAATTTGATTGATACGTCGATACCATATTGCAACCAACTATGGAAATATGATAACTTACCCATTGATAAGGTGATTGTTGCTGTGGCTGCTGTTGTTGTTGCTGACAATAATAGTCGTCATCAGTCATTACATAATCGGGACTGTGCAACGGCGTCGATGTTATCCCGAGCTTCGAGTCCTTTGACTTCCTCGTTTTCCTCTTGCGATTTTTCCTCAGCTCTTGTAATAACCGGCAAAACTCTGCATCATTTCCGCTTCTAGCGGCTTGCAAAACTTTAACCAGCATTTTCTTCTGTAACTCAGGATAGTGAAATGACAGAGTGAGATAATGGAATCGAACATTTGCAATTGGAATCGAACAATTAACTAAATTAAAAGAAATGGAAAAAGAATCGAATCAGTGCGCTCGAATCAGTCCTCGCTCTGATGAAGTGAATGGCAAAGTTCACGAAACGTTGACATTAGCAATGGATCATGATACGGCAAACCCTGAATTAGTATCTCTAAAGAGTCGAATCTTTTTACATGGAAACGTTTTAGAACTAAGGCTTTAAAAGTCAAAATTTTGTGGATATTGATATTCTTAATTAAAGTATACTTAATTTTTACATTATTTTATATCGTTCATTTATGATTTAAAGAAAAACGAAGAAACTCTGAATTGAAAAATGAAAACTTCATTAATTACTTATTGAAAAAGTTGAAAATCTGATAATGAGACTGGAAATAACAAAATTGATAATTGATAAACCTTGGTAGAAATTAGATAACTTTTGCAAACAAATGATTACTAATGTTATCAAAATTACAGGAGATTATAGTTAATGATTAATATAGTTATATAACATCATATTATGGCTCGATTAATTTTGGACTAATAATATCTACTTAAAGACACTTAAATAAAGGCGGTCGATGAAATTAATAAATGCATAGGAATACATACTGAAAATAAAACGATTAGGGACTAGTCTATTCAGATAAACTTGAACATATGCATAAAGAAAATTAACCGCAAATTAAATTATTTTACATGCATCCTTATGATAGAAATGCGATTGGATAATTTTCTTTGCGCCTATGTAATAGCTATGCAATTATACAAATTGATCTGGATAGAACCTTATAGAAATTAACTTTAGCTAATATGCACTTTGCTACACTCTGCATTTGAAACAAAAAAAAAGTGCATTGTGTTTCTCATATAATACGCATTATTTATCTTTGTTATTCACCGAATGTTAAACAACAAGGATAAATGATCTATTATGCACATCGTGCGTGAAACAGAATGCACCCAAAGTGAAGTGCATAAGCGTAAAGTGCAGATCTTAGGGGAAAGAAGAAAGTAATGGGGCGTAGGGGGAAATCCCGTCCGTGAGAAACTGACAAGAATGACGACGTTACGTAGACAATTTCACGTAATTCTTGGTTAGGATCTCGCGTACCTCTCCGGATCGCGAGGCAGCGTTACATGAACGAGAGGAAGCGGCTCGTTCTTGCCGGTCGCGAGCGATTGTCCTGCGATGGTCATTCATGTCCACTCGGGTCGCGGGAAGCGATCGGGACCGAAGTGGAAACGCCGTTCGAATGGGCCCGATCGATCCGTCCGTTATTACCACAACCCTTAATACGACACGATGACGATGACGATTTGAACAAGTTGCAGCAGCTTCAGGTGATCGCGTCTTGGTTAGGAATTTCCAGATCGCACGTTCATCTGGAGGCTCCTGTCTTCGATCGGATTGAGAAAAATCCGGCTGACCGTCGATTTTAACGCGCCACGCTCGACTTCCTCGACTCAGGGAGCTCACAGAGGATGCGCCAGAGCCACTTGAATCGCAACTGATCGCAACCGTCGATCGATCGGGGCGCGATCTTCGACGGGAGTTCGAATAAATTTGTCTCTTGGTAACAGAAACCGGTGACGGCGGTGACAAGAATGGATCAGATTAGACGGAGAAAGAAAACGATCGTTAGGATCGTGATGATGATGTCGGCATTGTCGGCGACGATGGTGACAACTCACCTTGATGTTACCCGGTACGCGATACCTCAGGGCCAGGGCCTGCAGCTCCTTGTAGGATAACTGCGTGATATCACTGCCGACGTTCATGCTGCTGCTGCTGCTGTTGCTGCTTTATCTGTATGGCGGAATTTCGTCTGCTCCGCCGCGCTCGCCCGATCCGATTTTCGAATTCGAGCCGACTGACTTTTAGCGCGAAACGCCACAAAGGCGTAAAGTCTCGTTCTCAGCAGGAGTCGGGACGCGCAATTAGAATTATCGAATACAATCGTAGAGGAGAGAGAGACAATATGCTGGTAATGTCGAAGCCAATCCGATAGCGCGGTACTTATCGATTGGTCTCAATTACGAGATTGAGATCTTATTAATCGTCATTCTGGTGGATCGTCGGCCTGGTGGATCCTTTTCAGAATTCAGGGTGCAATTCGAGAGGTTTAAGTACTAATCGTGTCAGTCTATTTTCATTTATTATAAGTAAAACAAGAATAGGATAACACAAAAGTACCAGTAAGACTCGCCGAACGCACCTTTAATCACTCGTGAAAAGTTGACACGCCAATCCCAATCGCGGAAACATATTCTCCCAGAATCGCGATCTAATAGACAAGAAATGACATAGACTGGTTTTAATTGTAAGTGACAGTCGGCGTACTTAAGCCCGTATCAGACTGCCGATTCGACTGCCGACTCTGATTGCCGACCAATAATGGACCAATCATATTGAATCAGTTTTATTGTGATTGGTACGTTATTAATCGGCAGTCAGAATTGGCAGTCGGGATGGCTTGCAGAGTCGGTAGTCTGGGCTTTAGGAATGTTCTCTTTTGTTGTCTAATGCCCGTTTCTACCTCTAATCTCGGTTCAATTTACTTTTCGTATTTTTCTAATCTTTAATTAGAAAAAGATAATCTACATTGGTGGAAA